AATCCGACGAGAGCGCACTACATGACCTCACTCATAGGCCGATTGCCAACGACTGACGCTTCCTGCAGGCGGGAAAAAATTCAGGGCTGTGCATGACTGTCCCCTCCACAACTCCACCGAAGGAGGCCTGTCACGCATCATTGGTTTACGCGGAAAAAAAAAAGGTCCGATACTTTTTGAACAGACCTTGTATTCTGTAGGTCATTTCAAAATCAGATGACTGTTAATTACTGGTTTTTTTTTTCTTTCACCTGGCACCCATTTTTAATAAAGTTATTCTGTTTAACTATCTCTGCTAATTAAGTTGTGAAAAATGCTTTAAAAAATTTTGAAAATCGAGAGAAGAAATTTGAATTTTTATGAATGAAAAGGACCAGAATGTTCCTAAATTATATGATGGACAGTGGCTTTTGGATTCATGTTTCCTTACTAATATCACAATGAAATTAAACAAACTTAATAAACAGCTTCAAGGTAAACACAAATTGATCACAGACTGTTATCAAAATATAGAGGCATTCATAGCAAAACTCAAACTTTATAAAAATCAGTTAAAATCAAAAACTACAATTCATCATCCTAAATTACATAAATTTAATAGTGACGAAAAACATTTTTCTAAATATGCACAAGAAATTAGTAATTTACGAAGAGAATTTCAAGAAAGATTTTTTATATTTAAAAATTTATGAGAATAAATTTAATATTTTCTTTTGTCCATTTGACATTGTTGTGGAACAAGCTCCAACAAATTTGCAGATAGATTTGATAAATTTCCATTCATCTTCTGAATTGAAATATGCGTTTGAGGCCAAAAACAAAGTTCAGTTTTATACAAAATACGTCTGTAATGATGAATTCCATAACCTAAAAAAAACACAATGAACATTACAGCTGCAATGGGAATCACCTATCTTTATGAATCTTTTTTTCTTAAAACTGAAGATTGCTAAATGTAAAAGTCGTAATAGATTGACCAATAAAAATGTAAAAAACAATTATGTTATACATCATCAAAAATACCTGTTGATATTAAAAAATTAAGTGAAAAAAATTGAAAAGCAAGTTTCACATTAAAATACATACAAAATACTGTATAATTATACATGTTTTGTTGTAAATAAATGTGTGTGACCCACAGTGTATTTTTATTTTTGGTTTTGTCCCAGTAAACAATTTCGGTTAGACAACACTGATTTAACATAATGTATCAAAAACTCAATTACATAATTAACATTTAATAAGTAAAACTTAGAAAAGAAAAATAAAAAATGTAATTATTAACCACTTGCATATTTATCATAAAGGATTTTTTTTTATAAACATATTTCTATCTTTATTAACAATACTTAATTATATATAAGCCTAAATTACTTTTAAATTTTAATAGCTAAGTTATATTTAATTATCAAATAAGAACACAAATAAAAACAAAGTCATGGACATGATTACAATGAAATTGTAAACATCTTATTTAACATTACATCTTTACAGACTATCTTCATGAATCATTATGCTCTCTATTACTGAAATTTTCTTATCAATGCAATATATCTAATAATCATTTGATATCACATATCTACATCAGATGACATTCACTTTTCTTTATGTATAATGATTATTAGATTGGGAATTACAAAAAGGAAAACATTAGAAAATGTAATTAAAATCATAACAAATAAGCAGGAAGATATATATGTAAATTATCTATATATATAAAAATGAATGAGTGTGTGTGTTTGTGTGTCCTTCATGCATTACAACACCGTTTATCCGATTGCCATGAAGCTTTGGGAAGTTTTTTAATACACTCCCGCGAAGGTTTCTGGCATTTACCCTATGATAGATGGCGCGCGTTTACACAAGCATTCGAGCACAGTGTGTTCGATCGATTTCAAATAGTGAAGACCATTTCCCCCCTCCAAAAAATATCTCTATATACGCATTTATTATTTACGATATTTGTAATAATTTTTGTTTAATCACTTTATTTCAACTATTTTTTTGCTAATTACGTAATCACTTGAACTTTGTTAAAGCCTTAACTGTATCATGAACAACAACCAAAGTTGTAGAAGGAAATTCGCCTATTTTACCGATCTAGGGATCCCCCTTTTCCAAATTTTAATATCAACTCAAAATAATTTAAAAAGACAAATTACAATAAAACGGTTTATTATCCAACTATCAGAAATTTCACAACATGCCAAGGAAGAGAGGAAGGAGCAATTAAATAATCAAAATTATGAAGGATTAAAAAAAATATATAAAAATGGGGAATATCGCACTTCTAACAATCTCTGCGAGTATGTGGGCTAAATTTAAAGAATCCGTGCTTCTCACTTGGACAACTGTATGTGGCCAACTCACGAGTAGGAAAACCTTTTGATTTATTCGTGTATGCACCAGACGGAAAAACAAAAAATATCGTGTAGCCACAAAGCACTCCAATAAATAAATAAAATTGAAACGACACTTTGAAATGTTTTCCTGATGAAAATGAATAATAATAATAAGTTTCAATGAAAATGATAAAATGTAAATTTAATTTTATCATAACGAGTTTGCTTGAATTTCCTTTCTTCTGAGATTGCAGCAATGTGCGACGGGTAAGCTAGTATATAATAAATTAATAGTCACTGATTACACTAAATGGATAGTTATTTAATTGCCATCCACTCAAGGCTGCATACTTTGTATTGGTCATTTTCAAAACCAATTATAAGGAAAATAGGATTGTTTAAATCAGTATTTTTCAACCAGTGGTCGTGGACTGGTGCCGGTCCTTGAGAAATTAAGTAAATTACAAATTAGCAATGGCTATATTCAATGTCAGTTTTTTGGAAAACACTTTTCAATCTTTTACGCATTTAAATGACAAAAAATTATCTTTTTGAATATACATAATGAAGAAAAGTGATGTTGTTTGGACCAGATAACTGATGTATGGCAATTTCTATCAAAATACGGAAATCCTTCTTCTCTGGTTTAATGAGTATTCATGAAGTGGCAACACTGATGGTCAGACTTGTCAGTGGCAGTATTTGTATATTATCGAGCAGGTGTGATTTATTTTTGCTTAACAATCAAATTTTACAAAAAAAAAAAAAAAAAACAAACGCTATAAAATGGAAAAGAAGAAAAGCAAACAGCAAAGCCTTCTAAGCTTTTTAAATAAAAGCAATAATCAAGAGCAAAATAGTAATGCTTCTGAAAATGTTCCAAGTACTAGTTCTTCAAATTCAGAACAAGCAAAGAAAAAGTTGTATGTTGATACTTTGGAATGTGCAATACCACCTAAAAAGTCAAAAGGAAACTTTGTCAGGCATTACAATAAGGAGTATTTAAAGTTTGGTTTTATTTTAGCACCAAACAGTGAACTATCACCATGACCTTTGTGTGTAGTGTGCTCCGAAATTTTGTCAAATGACACCATGAAACCATCCAAACTTGCTCATCATTTGAATTTAAAGCATAAAGATTTTATTGATAAGCCCAGACTTTTTGAAAGATTATGTGAACAAATTAAAACACAGAAAAGTGTAATGAAAATGATGATGACTAGCAACAAGTCATTGCTTTGAGCATTGTACTTAGTGGCTCTCCGTATATCTAAAGCTAAAAAGCTATTTATGATTGGTGAGGAGTTAGTAAAACCTTGCATCTTAGATGTCATACAAGAAATTTTGGGACCTCAATCCATTAAAAAACTGGAGACTATACCCATATTGGATAATACCATTCAAAGAAGAATTGTTGATATAGCAACAGATATCGAAATTCAAGTTGTCTAAGGGATAAAGAAATCTAGATATTTTGCAATTCAGCTTGACGAGTCTACTAATGTGAGTAACCATGCTATCCTTCTTTGCTTTGTCAGATATGTGAAGAGAAAGTCTAACGGGAAGAACTTTCCCGTTGTTCAAACACACATTTTTCATCTTTTTAATTTTTATTCAGTTGATTTGTACACGTTATGGGAATAACTTTGTTCCCTTGATATACCTGGAAAATTACTAGTTCTGAGATATTTAGTGCTCTTAATAATTACATTCCGGCACAAGGCTTAGACTGGAAGAAATGCTTGGGAATGTGTACAGATGGTGCTATGAGTATTGCTGGACATTGCTCTGGACTAGTTGCAAAAATAAAGGAAGTTGTGCACCCAGAAATATTGTCAACTCACTGCATAATCCATCAAAAGCATTTAGCTGCAAAGAAGCTTTCTGCTGAACTGAACACAGTGATGAATGATGTAGTAAATATTATTAATAAAATTTGTAGTCGAGCAATAAATTTCAGGCTGTTCAGAATGTTGTGTGAGAGTATGAACTCACACCACCATCTTCTTCTCCATGCTGAAATGAGGTGGTTATTAAGAGAAAGAGTTCTTGTATGTCTTTTTGAATTAAGAGAAGAGGTAACAAAATTTTTACGCACCCGAAAATCCAATTTAATAGAATCTTTGTTAAATGAAGAATGGATGGCTAAACTTGCATATATGGCAGACATATTTAATCTTCTTAATGACCTTAACATTTCACTTCAGGGATCTTGTACAAATATCTTTACAGTGAGAAATAAAATGGATGCATTCAAAAAGCTGGATCTTTGGGAAAATAAGATGTAGAAATGCACCCAACTTTGAATTTTTAACTACAGCAGATATCAAACAGAAAGTAATATTCAAAATAATTAGTGAACAATTAAGGGCATTAGTTGAAAACTTTAATAACTATTTCCCTGAAAGTGAGGATTTTCATAGGGGCAACCTTTGGATTAATAATCCTTTAATAGAAGATGTCCAGTCATGTGCACTTGATTTTCATGATAAAGAGAAGCTGATAGAATTATCTCCTGATGTCACTCTAGTTTTGAGGCATAAAACGATGTCATTGCCTCAATTTGAATATTGCTTAAAAAAGAATATCCAACATTGAGTGATAAAGTGATCAAATTATTAATTGTTTTTTCAACTTCTTATTTGTGCAGGAAGACTTTTTCTGCCATGTCAATAATAAAAACCAAGCAGAGAAATTGAATGGATATAAATGCTGCACTTTGTCTCTCAGAAACAAAACTGCAACCACGAATAACTGATTTTCTAACAAAGAATTAACAGCAGATGGGGCACTAATAATGTCATATAAATTTGTATTTCTATTTCTATTCAATTAGTTAATAAAAATATTATTTAGGTTTAGGTTTTTATTTCAATCTTTATAGTTTGCCAGTCCGCAACATAATTCTTTTATTTTTGCCGGTCCGCAAATATGAAAAGGTTGAAAACCATTGGTTTAAATGTCAAATCAAAAAACAGTTTCTATTGAACATGATTAATAGCTAATTCCAAGAAAAGTTCTTGTGGAAAAATAAATTGTACATCTTACTCTATTAATGCATTTGGCATATTTTCAAAAGAACTTCAACTGGTCTTAATTGAGATAAAATATATTCTTTTGTGTTTGAATGTTTCATATTTTTAATTTGCATTTTAATTAATATAATACTAGTTTTTTTAGTTATTTAGTTTATATCAAAATAAAATTACCTGCTTAATGCTTCAAAACAAGTTTTGCAAACAAGCTGCTTTTTGGATGGATCAAGTTTTGGAATTACTATTTTTTTACTGCAACATCTTCCACAGAAAGAAAATCCACAGTGACTGCATCCAAGCTAAACATTTTGTAAATAATTTTATTAATAGAAATATATAATTACAGTTTAATTTTATAATAAAAATGATATGAAATTATTTAATAAGAAATGAATTTTCAATAATTTCTATTTTTTTGAGTGATTATCAAATAACTAATCAAACATCCTTACTACACCTGATAGATTATCAAATAAATTACCAGAGCTAATATAAAAAAAAATAAATGAAAATACTTCAATTGAACAAAAGACAAAACAAATTCAATAATTAACAAGAGTAAAATCTTGAATTAATTGCAAGTTACTTGTTCTACATACACATTTTATGCATAATTATAATGTAAATTCCATTTGATATTTTGGTTTAGACCTTTGGTGAAATTTTACTGAACTTTTTCTTTTTATGCAAATGAAGAATATTCAATTATTATTATTAATTTTTTTTGTATTAGCCCTATTAATAAATTTTTATAACTAAAATTTCAATAAATATATCTCATATCAAATTTTTCCAGAGTATACATTATAAAATTCAAGTTTTTTTTTTATAATATATCCAAAATATAGTTTTCATTTATAACCTGAATAATAATTATGATAGCTAACATTTATTTTATAAATTACATTTGCTATAAAAGAAATATTTTATTGTAGTAACCTTGTTTAGATGTCAGCAAACAAAATAGTTACAAAAAATATTTTGTCAATGAATAATGGTTTTGCAAAAAACAGAATCTCTCAATAAATAATGAGTATCATATTTTAAAACAACTTTCCTTTTCAACTAAAATTAATAATCAGAATTTCATTTTTAGATTATAAATGGAATTTTTCAAAAACAATATTCATTTTTCATTATCCAATTACTATTAAATTTTTGATACAATTTATGAATCAATTAGCTCCACCAGAAAGTTTTTATACACAATTTTATTAATTTTTATGTAGAATATTGTCATAAAATTTGGTACAGTTACATTATATACTTCAAATCAAAATAAGATTAAAGTACATGTTTAAAAAAAATACATTAAATTTGACAACAAAGTTTGTTGCAATACTAATCTTTTTATTAAATGCTTTTATTTAATTTGCTTTGTATATCCTCAAATCTTGCAAGTCAAATTCCATCCACTTCTAATTTATTGCTATTATTTTATATTATTAGAGATGAAATTTTGAAGATATATCTAAATCTGATGACAATGTATTTTAATTTAACTTTACGGATATGGCCCACCTCCACCCCACCATCCTGAACCTGATAAACTTAACCAAATGTAGAATTTAATTGTAATGTGCATGTGTGGTGATGTATATGGTGGGGTAAAGCAACCCACACCTATCTCTCTCTTGAAAAACATGGACGATAAAAGCATTTAAATTTTTTTTTAATGTATTAAAATTATTCATTTTCATATTCCAGAATACACCCTAGAAAATTCAAGAAATAGTACAGTCTCAATCAGGTATGGATGGAAAAATAAGACATTTGTTTTGTTTGTGCTCCAATTTTAGAAATGATCTAACTTTTTAATTGGATATATTTTTTTTCATGTTTTAAGAAAATTTTTAACTTTGGAGATCAAATAGCATAAAAAAGAAAGGTCAGGTCATCATGCAATGTATTTCAGAACATGGAAGTGAATAAAATGGTGACTGTTTCAATGGTCTTTGTCTTCAAATTTAATTAATGTGAAAATTACTATCCAGCAAATTTTATAAACTGTAAAAATTACAGTTATATCTATTTATGTTTTTCAATTCTTAAAAATCTTACATTCTTATTCAAAATTTACCAAGTTGTTTTGTTGAAATATAAAATATTGTTATAATTTTCATCCTAATACTTATGAGCAAAATATATTCATCTTTAGGGCATAATATACAACTTTAAACTTCTTGATATTCAAGCATTCATAATATTCTAAACTTTTCAAAACAAAAGGAATTATCACAGAAATAAGTATTACTAATTTTATTATGGTAAATACTTTTTGCACCATTAATCCAATAATTATTATTAAGAACTAGGCTTTATATAAATAGTAGTAAAACAAAATAAAATCATTTTACTTATTTCAACACAATTCACTAGTTTCTACTGATTTACTTGTACAGTGATTTAATACAAAATTAGTATTGTTATAATTATTATAATCCACTATTCGTTTTGAAAATTTTAAATGAATAAATGTCCAGAAGTTTAGAATTTCATGGAGTGCTTAACTGCCAAAAAGTTTGAAATAGAACTGTATATAGTTCAGCCAGCTTAGGTGTGTCTGTCACTGACATTTTGCCAACTCTCTTGAACTCATCTTGGAAGCACACTTGGTAGAAAGGAAGCTGTGCTGATGTGTTTATTTGCTGTTAGTATTGAATTCAGTAAGAGATATATTTGTCTTTTCCTTTTCTTTTGTGTGATTTTTTGTTTTACCATGGAAAATACAAACTTTTTGTAGTGAAACAAAAAAAAATTTTACACATCATTCAATGATGTGATAGGGAAACTGAAAATGGTGATTGCATTGATTCCATTATTTCCATTGCTCATTTTGCAAAGCATGCAAGAAAGGTTTCTGGAGTCAATGATAAAAAAAAAATTTGCCAGCAAGCAGGCAGTGATAATGAGCAAAATTTTACTTCATCAATAAAAAGTTCAAAGAAGGACATTCCAGAAATAATGGCATTACATAGCTTTGATTGTAATGTGATTAGAAGAACAATTCATGGTTTCTATGTCAAAGAGAAGAAAGACCTGAGAATTCCTAAACTACTGCCTGTCTCAAAAGAAAAGATCAACTTTCTTTCTTTTCAATAAAAGATTTTAAGCGACATGCCACTTAAAAGTATTTTTCTTCTTCTGAAAATAGCCTTTCTACATGTAAATATTCCCTTCCATATCGGAAAAAGTACAACCCCTATTTTACAAATAAACTGGTTTAAGTTTGCACATGTCTACTTGTGTTGAAGGTCTCAGCTAAGTTGACTAGATAATGTTTCCCTAAAAATAATTTATTTGTTTCTAACAAGTAAGTATTAGGGATAATATTTTATATTTTAATAAAACAGTTTTTGTGAAATTTAATATTTGTTAGTTGGAATTATAATTCTCCAAACTTTCCAAATTTTTAACTCCATACAAAATATATTCATAAATAAATTTATAAATGATCTCAAACATTCATCAATGAATAGTTTTATCACTAATATTTTAATATCTAACACATTTTTAAGTTTTCTTTATGCTTCACCTTTAGTGGGTATACAAAATTCTCTGAATTTCATGTTTTAGTTGATTGATTTAAAATATTACTACTTATTAGAATTATATTCAACGTAAACTAAAATCAGAACTCAGTAATGTAGCCTTATTATTGTTTAAATGTGATATAATTTAATTTCTTAATTCTACATTTCATGGAATATTTCCAGATCCTTATTTTATTAAAATTCTTCAAACTTTTAAATTTAAATTTTTTAAAAATTTACATCCTAGATCTTTTCTTTTTTATTCCCTTAAAATTTCTTAATCAAATAAAGTATTTAATCCACTTCATAATTAAAATTTAAGTCAAGATGTATCACAAGTTCACAGAACTAATAATTTTTTATGGTAAACTCATAGTATTGCAGTTTTTAACAAGTGTTTTACTATTTATTTTATTTTTATTATTAAAAACAGTAATATCTTTTTATTTTACAATTATTTTTGAAGTAACAGTGGTTGTGTAGATCTAATTCACATATCTGATTAATAGCAATTTCAAAATGACTCACTCAATTAAGATGTAAATGCTATTGCTAGCAGATGGTATACTACCCTGTAATTTTTTTTATTTTTTAATTTTAGAATGTCATTAAGAATTATGTTAAAATCATTAAAAATTGTATGTTGAAATATTCTTGAAATGAATTTGTTTTGTTAAAAGAAAATTCTTTGTTTACAAAAACTTCTGCAGGTTATTAAATACAAATACGCTTCTATACCAGTGTTCCACAACCTCTTTCTACTTGCGGCACACCCATGACTCAACATGTCTCAACATGGCACATCAAAATGTTATTCCCCTCAAAACATATGACATGATTGTGGTGACAATACATCCTTTATTTCACTGCTCTGTCCTTTAACTTTATTTATTTTCTAAAATAGACATTTTGTCCTTTATTTTGTAAAGTCGACGCAAAGTTTAAAAAAACTTTTTTTAATAATACATTGAACAAGTTAGTTTTGTGTATGCCACCACGACCAGTGTTGTCATTGTGTTGTGCATTGCTACATAGAGCACAGTAGTGCAGTGTGTCACCAACCGAACAGCCCATTGACAGTACCAAAGGGTAGACACTCTTATGGGGATTTTTGTGATAGTTTTTCAACTCTCTAGTTGATGGATGATACACTTGGAGTGTTGGTGAGCATTCATCGTCACTTGTTGGCAATCTTTGGAGGGCTCGAGCATGTGACACTTTTACTGTTGAGTGTCCCTTCTCTCTATAGTACACTCCTTTTCTCTGGACAATACACACATGGACCTCACCTCAGTTACTATACTTTTATGCAATGTTAATTAGTTACACAGGGACTGCATGCGAGTTTTTAGTCTATTATTTCTAATTTTTCGTATTTAGGTATTATTTAATTTATATTTTGTAGACCATTTATCATGGCACCAAAAAGAAAGTGCATTTTTAATCAAACATTACAAGAAGAATTTCCATTTATTAAAAAAGGAATAATGGATAGTGATGTCAAATGTAACAAATGTTTAGCCAGCTTTAATATTGTGAATAGTGGTAGATCAGCAATTACACAATATATTCAGACAGCAAAACACAAAGAAGCGGACATCCGGGCTTCAACAAACAAATCGTTAAACTCATTTTTCATTAATAAAAATTCTGATGATAACCTAAAGACTTTAGCACTAGAAGAGGCATCTTGGTGTTGTCACTCAATACAACATAACTACTCATTTTGATCAAACGACTGCTCTTCTAAATTAATTAAGAAATGT